TCTTAATCCTCTCAAGTCCCAAATTAACATCAGATTATGTAACTACCGCAGACAGAAAGCACACTAAGGGACTTGGGGGAGGGGGTACATTGGTGGTGGTGGTGGGGAATAAAGGGAGATGATGTCAAGGAGCCCATGTAGAAAAAGAATGGTTGGAAACAGACTGTTATGTTTTAGCCATTGTTTCTGAACAGTGGTACTATAGGTATTTGGCATGGGTAGCTTTTTTATTGTGGGGTTGTCTTGTGTGTTATAGTATGTAGAAGAATCCCGGACCTCTACCCACTGGATACTAGTAACACCCTTCCCTCAGTTCTGACAACCAAGATTGCATCCAGACATTATCAAATATTCCTCGGGGGCAACATCATGCATTGATCTGAGTAGATTTTTCCGAGCAGCTCATTAAGAAAATTTATTTTTGGAATTATCTAGCAGTTGTTTTCTGGGCAACTCACCTATGTGCCTGAATTTTCAATGACATTTCAAATCTTCCAAATGATAGTTGTTGTTTTTGAGTGTTATTATAGTTCTGATCTAGCTAGAAATGTAGCTGGGAGCTTCTTTTGAGTGGCATTGAGTTATCAGCAATGGGTTCCTTTTAATAAGCTATGTAAGTTGCTCAATTGTTTGGTGTCATTTTACTACTTTGAACCCATGTGTACAGGAACCAATTTTTAGTTATTTAATGTTCTGAGAAAAATGTAATCAAATACCGAATATGTACTTTCCAATAGCATCTCTTATGTGATTAAGGGGGAGGAATATCTCTAAGGCAAGTTTGAAGAAACTTCTTTTTACTTTTTGTTTTTAACCTTTCCTTGGAAGTCTAGAATCCCGAAGAAGCCCATCAAAAGCCCGAAGACTTTATTGAAGGGCTTGCAAAGCCAGTTTTCTTTATCTTAGTGGATATGATTATTCTAGACAATGACCTAAAGCTTGAATATCCTGTGAGCAGGGCCAGCTCACAAACCTGGCAGAATAATTTGTGGAAGACACGAGCATGTAGAGAGAAGTAGAATGAACTCAAGCCTACTTACGACCTTTTAAGAGTGATGCATGTGGTCACCGTTGCTATTAAATATGGTTGTTATGTTTGGAAAAGCAGATCCCATGGGAACCAGATCCACAGGTTCCAGCACAACCATCTGTGTGAGCTTGGTGTCACGTGTCCCTTTTCCTCCGCCTCAGGAAGCTTTTCAGTTAAAATGATTAATTTCAGTTTCAGGAGTGGGGATCCCCAGGGGTACCCCTTCTCTGAATTCAGATAGAAGGGTTTTCTTATGAGAAGGTAGACAGTAGTGTACATTGTTAAACGCCCACTAGTTCTAGGAAAAGACGGTAAGTCATTTGGACATTGTTTGAATACCTTAATTACAACCGTATGGAGCCAAACTTCTGACTGTTCTCACTGGAGGCCAGAGGACGGGCAGTAGCAATACCAGAGGCAGTGGCTGAGCAGAGCCTAGGAAGCTAGTGGGGAGCAAGCAGAGAGTATGCAGGCGGCCTGTTGCTCCCCTTTTCTGCTGGCTGGACAAACTCCACCATAGCTACATCTTCTGCCTCACCTGCCTACAACCCACTCTGGGTCTTGTTCTATGAGACTTTAAAAAAAAATCATTTTATTGGGGGCTCGTACAGCTCTTACCACAATCCATCCATGCATCCATTGTGTCGAGCACATTTGTTACCATCATCATTTTCAAAACATTTTCTTTCTACCTGAGTCCTTGGTGTCAGCTTCTCATTTCCACCCCCCCTCCCTC